TAAAATTTAATGTACTGTACCAATGGTAGATCGTTCATTCCCAATGATGGGGCAAACATTGCTCTTGTCCATATATTAGCAACTTGCAATGCCAGGGACATCTTGTACTTGTCCTCTTCTCTCACTATGTATCTCACTTCATCGTGGATACTGATGCAGAGTCTCCCACCAGTGATGTTATAGTGAGCCATTAGCCACTTGACAGCCACCAAGAGGAGGTGAAGGTAGTCCACTGCAGAAGACTGGACTACCCAATTGATTCTACTGGTCATGAACTAGCATAAATGAAAAAATAATAATATATACTGGTATTTAAGTTCATCGAAAGTTTTCAGCTACTGCACAAAATGATTTATTGGCTAGGAATTCAAAAAAATGCCAATACAAATCTGTCATTTCGTTTTGAACCAAGCATGTTAAAGGCACATACATGACACAAAATAATATAAAAATAAATGCACTGCAATAATCAGCTCCTACCTTTTCTTTAACGTTTTCCTTCTGTAGTGCAGTACTGATGAGACAGTTAAGTACTGGAGTGCGGGGCTGAGGGGATTTAGCTATTGACTCCAGCTTATTGAACATATGAGACTCTGTACCACCATACCAATAGGTACCTACTCTAGACTTTGGTGGAAAGCTAAGAGAAAAATTAATTCAGCATAATAATAATAATAATAATAATAATATGATTTTTGGACTCGCCACGCTTGCGTAGGCGGGTACTAAGCAGTTGGGTTGTCATTCTGTCTGTCTGTCTGTCTGTCTGTCATTCTGTCACGAAAATTCCTGTTAATTCCTAGTCAATATCTTTTTTACTGAGCTCTCCTGAGTTATAATTCTTTTTAAGCTTTGAGAAAAAGATAATTTATTTAGCTCCGTTGTATTTTCATAGCAATCCGTGGTAGCAAAAGCTGAATATTTTCAAGAATAGACCACTTTTCCTAGCCAAATCTTCGTGTTTCACTCTATTTGGTCAAGATTAGTATTGATAGGTAGAGAAAAGTACCTAGATTAAAAAATATGTGGGGATTTTCTAATCTCTTTTTTGTTTGCGAGTTACAGTTGCTCAAAGTTTGTGATTTAGCCTCTTCGAAAAATTTTCAGGCAGCACTGGGGAAAGCAAGAGCAACCAAACTATCTCAGTCTCTTTTAAATATCTAGGCAAATTTTTTGTGCTTACTCTTTCTTTGAATAGAGCTTCAGATGCTAAAATAAATTTCGGCTTTTCTTCTTTCTCCTACCCACGTGCCATGTTTATCTGCACTGCAGCATAGATAATAGAGTAATGAAAGGGATTGGAAACGGGGGCGTAGGCTGGTTGATGTTGCTATTGGTTACCGGCCCAAAACCTGGTTGATTTCCCATCTCCTCCATTAGTGAGGCTGTACTGCAAGGACTTCGAAGGATATTTATGGAGATCCAAGAGGACGCTTACTTATGATATACCTACCGTTCCATATAGAAAGTGTTGGACTACCTGCAGCAAGGTTTACTCTATTATCTATGACTGCAGTGCTAGGTGCTGACCACACCTATAATTTATTTTATGGATCAGTGCAGTAATTGGCTAATTGCATTGGTGCACTTTGTCAAAATCTATTATCCTTTTTTCAAATATCAAGTTGCTTATATATATAATATCATGATGGGGCAATACAAGTAACACATTATCCCTCAGGTGAATCTCAGCAGGCGAGTCCACGCACCATGGTGCTTCATTGAATGAGTGAGTTTATAATATGATAAGCAACAGAAGATATATCGTAACTATTAAAATGCACCTTTTATATTCCTTTACCCAGTCTGATATGTTGATTGACCCATCACTGTGGATTGTTATACCAGCTGAGCTTGCTATGGCCTGTGCTTTCTTTGAGAGCAGCATCCTATGAAGAGGAGAGAGAAATGGAGGCAATGAAAGAGTGAGAGGTCACCTCCTAATCCCTTTTGTTGATTCGTATAATGAATTGGATTTAGCATCAATCTCCTCATCACTTAGCAGTGGATTAAACTGTTTTAACAGCGTGCTGGCAAACTGCTTCCCTGAGCCGTATATACGACTGTAATTAAACACCTAACGAACAGGGTCATCCTCATATACATTGTATATTACTTTAGCATGGTCACGTGTGATTCCAATGGTCTGGGCAGTCTTACTGTGAATATCAGTCCCTTCGCTTTTATTGCCTTGGAGTGACATCCAGCCAAATGCAGTGCCACCTGAAAAATTATATAGAAATGCATCCAGTTATCTCTAGTGCATGTACTTGTACACGGACTTGTATTATATGAAAACTTTGAGTGGAATTAAAATGAAAACTAAATTCTTATTAATTTTTATAATTTTTACAAATAAGTTACTGCAAGGCTTATCAGCTCATGAAACATGCTTCTTAGTTCATGTAGCATGTTTTGCAGGAAATCCCATGTTATAATGGCTACAATGTATACTACTGTCTCTTCCCCTTACCTTGTAGTCCAGTGAAGTGATTGTCCCCTAGCAATGAAGCAATCCAAACCTCTTGACTATCAACATCAGCACCAACGATACAGTAACCTGGTGGGGCCTGGACAAAAGCCTTTTGCTCAGAGCCTATCTTATTGATCTAGAGAACAAAAAGAAGAGAAAACCTTGAATTCATTTTAGTGGATTTAACTGTCACAAATCCAAGCACTCAGCTAACTTGTACTTTATGAATTATATAAATTTTTGCTCCCTCAAAATTCTCCGGCTATACAGTATAGACAATAATATTCTTACTTTGGCATTGCTAGCCGTCAGCCATGTTGGTTCAACAGCTCTTCGAGTCACTGTACCAGAAACCTGCACCTTAGGAATGATCACACCTTGTGCCTTCCTCTTATGATCAGATGCACTCTCTTCATTAGTCCAAACCACAAACTGATTGCTTTAAAGGTAGAGAGAGGCAGAGAAGTATATAAATAATTTAATACAATATACCCATGCATTAAAATGATA